TTTTCGTTACCTCTTTATGCTTATTTGTAACAGTGTTGTCAGGTACAAGAAAATCACTTCAGGGAAAGAGCTTTTATTGTATAGAGGAACGTTAGGCAGATTTCCTGTAAGAGAGGTTCAAATATACCATTGATGGCCCTTCCTTTGGGTGTAAGATACACGTATTACTAGACCACTTGGGTATAAAAAAACTTATAAGACCAATTTGGAGTTCTGGCTTCTCTTTGCAATAATACGAGTCCAACTTTTATTATTACTGATCTTTCATTTGGACTATAAAATGCACATCGATGTTTCGTCACCCATCACCCATGTTTTTATCATACCTTCAATTGTTAAAATCTTCAGACTTTAATAGACCTTTGGCACATTTAATATTTGCTTTCTTGTAGACAAGGCACTCATTTGACAGAAATATTTTAGATTCATTTCCTTTGTCAGAACTCTATAAACTGTGGTGATGAAATCTTAAGTGCCTTAGCAACGTCTTTAACTGTAAATCTGGCATTTTCAGATATCATGTCGCTCACAGCATCGGCATTTTTTGGTTTTCCTATATTTTGCGATCGACCAGTTCGACTGCGAACTTTTAACTCTCATTTTCCACTTCTGAATTTCTAAATCCATCTGAACTCCATACTGCGTGACTAGTCATTCCAGATATCTAAACCATATCTTCATGTAGGCTCTCCAGCAATTTTTGTAGTGAAGCGCAGTTTTCACGTAAGCCCTAGTTTTCATCTTCTTGACAGACACCATTTTTAAACAGTTTTCAGCTCAGTGAAGTGACCCTGCTTACTTTAAAAGTACTTTAAAATTTCTTTACGAAGGCATCAGAAAAAAGCATAAGGTTTTCGGTGTTTGGGAGTTCTTAAATAGAACTTTTTGACTGAAAAAATAAAATTAACTGCATCTACATATATTATGATTAATCGTAAGTGACATTACTTTCTGAACGACTCTCGTAGGTCTTTATCTAGTGGGTCGGGAAGGAAATGATCTGACTTCACTATATGTGTCTGTAAAGTAATTACAGTCAAACATGTACGTATCCCATTTCACTAGAAAATGCCAGACTGTCACTTCCTGTCATTTCCTGTACCTAAGTCTTTCATGCATTGGTGTGTTTTCCGTTGTGAGAAAAAAACAACAAACTTTCCTTGATTGTCTGTATTATTTGACAACAAACTTTCCTTGATTGTCTGTATTATTTGACAACAAACTTTCCTTGATTGTCTATATTATTTAAATCTTTGAAATTTGATGCGTGAAAATGACAGAAAACTGCATAAGGATTGGGTGTTAATTCGTTTTCTTTTTTTGTCTATGAAATTTTTAATGTCAAATTTGAAATTTAAAAGTCTTAAAAGGATTGGATGGATTTATTAACATATCAAATGTTAGTACAAGGGTATTGGGTATATGTCACCATATCAAATGTCAGTAAAGGGTTTAGTTGCAAATTATTCTACTTTGTTTCCACAAATGTCAGTCAAAAACATGTCTTTAACCTTATACAACATAAGTAACATTTCTGATAGGTTATTTCTTCAGAATCCTCTTAGATAATTTGAAAATCCTTACTGTAGAGTATCTAGATTCTCCATTGTATTATTAATATTTCTGTTTTCTTACTCAATTAATCATTAAAGCCCTTTTAATAGAGCTTTATAGAACAAACGTAAACTAAGCTAAACCTAGCAGTGAATAACAGCAGCCACTAAGCCTGCAAAAATTAGCAGCCAATAAGGAAAATAAATTCAAAAATTGTGATTGATTCTTTTATTTTTATTAGGAAATCTAAAAAAAAAAGAACAAACCAACATTAATGAAAGGATAGAGGACCTTGAGGAGTGCAGGAGCTAAAGTGGCCAATCAGTCAACAATCCAAATTTTGTCATTATTTTCACATTTTATAATGAAATAATGATTGAAGGTTACTATTGTCTAACCATTCTCTAACCACTATCTTATGTACAATGTGACAAATGCCAAAGTACAGGAAACTAACCCTGTCAGGTTCAACAGATTCCTTTGAAAACCCTTCTTAGTTTCCCCAGCGACTTCTCCAAAAATCTGATAAGAGATACTTCTTAAAGAAATTTAGCTCTCCTAAGTTTTGGTTTCTTCTGGCGAAAGGAATGAAAATAAGACTGTGGTATCCTATAGGCCCAATTTGAGAGTGAAAAATGGTAGCTTTATAGGCCCTTTATTTTTTCCCCAAAAAGGGATGATAATGCCTGAAATTAAACTCTTATCCCACTATGCAATGCAGTGGTGGTTAATTTGGGTAGTCAAAGATGACGGAGAAATACATGCTTCAAATATTCCCCTTGACCCACAGCACCACTGAGTGAGAACAGGCCAGATCTGATAGTGGGAAATAATACCCTTTTCGGCTCCTACTACACCTCCATCATGGTTTGATACAGTAGTATAAACACAATTATAATTGATTTTTGCATGTCACCAAAAAGCATGAGAAAGAAAAAATGCTTGAAATTAATGCATTTCGACAAGCACTGACAGAATCCGAAGATATTGTCTATAGTTCCACTGCACCTGCTGTTTAAGATTTAAAGAGTATTAAATATATAGCAGGAAAACCAAAATTAATTATTGCAACAGTTAAAATAAGGTATCGACATTGTAAAACCTTAAGCTATACCTCTTTACTGCACAATGTAAAAGGTGAAGATAACAAACAATGATCAATCTCGAAAATGCAGTAAACAAAATGAGTCGTGAACAGGGCGAAAACACAGATCCCTGGAAACAGCGGAGGTGGGATCAGGTGTCTAGAAGGAGTTTAGGGTAAGTATCTTCTGTCGTCCAGTCACCATATATAAATAAAAAAAACTTTAAACGAGGTAGTGGAAATCCTTGTAACATCAACTTATTTTTCAGTAGCTTGCCTCGGTTTAGATATTGATCTACACAGAGCATGCTCTTGCGTATCGAATCTGTTGGGAGGCATAAACACCACATGCAGGTGATGCTGGAATATTACTACATAAATAAGGGAAGTTGACGAAGGAAAAGCTGAAGTCATTCCGTTTGCAAATGCACTGGGATTTATCAAGTGGACATATGAATGAAAGTAACTATTGTTAATTGATAAGACATCTAAGATCCCTTTATATATTTAAGTATTACCAGCCCTCTATATATCAGAAAATCAGACATAAAATAAAAAGAAAGATCACAATCCTTTAAAATAAACTACAATAAAACTACAATTAACAATTGAAAAAAAACATTGAATACATGGAACTAAATTGCATACTGCCACTGTAATTCTATTTTGTTTAAAAATGTACCGGATTCCTTAACTTCATAATAATCCTTACAAACAAAGATACATTGCCTAGAATGAGGTACCATATAGAATAATATATTTACCCTGAATATATCGGAAAATCTTTAAAACAAGAGTGACTATGATGTGGCTCATGTTCCTCTGGATGGTATTCGTATTCTTAGATGTCAAGTGTTTTATCACATTGACAGAGCAATGTTATAGATACACGATGTGTTTACATTGAAATAATTAACAAGTCTGATATGTATTAATGTCACGACAAATGTTGGATAATTTAAAACAATTTTCATTTTTGGTTATATAAATATTGAGGTAATATGACACGTTTCCATATTCCTTCTAAGCAAAAAGTAGTTAAAGATAACACAGTTTAGGATCACATTCTTTTCACTTATAGAATCCTTTTATCTGAACATTTCTAGCGGGACAACACTTTGAAGGACTTTTATAAATATTGTCTGCTTGTTTACATATTTTTTTAAAGAATATTTAATCCATGCTGGAACATCACCAGCATTAGTGGTGGAAGGCTGCAGATTTTGACCTTTACTGGGCACCTGTGGCCTTTTAGCAGTACTAATGAGGGATCTTTTTTTGCTGGAATCTATTGCGACATGGGGTCTCAGTTTATACGGTCTCATCTAAAGGACAGCTTTCATATAGTAAACCTTCCGCATAGCAGACTTTCCGCCGGAATGTGTACCATATAGTAAACATTCCCCCTCGGATTAATTGCTATAAAGTAAATATTCCTCGGGTATTTTACTATATAGTAAAATTCCAATGCGAAAAGCTTTCAATACAACGAAAGTTCCTTCAGGGATAAACATATATATTAGACCTTTTACTTAACGTGTATAGGGGAACATTAACCAGGCATAACTAGTTGTCTGCACAACCTGAACCGTTTTGATTTTCTGGTAATATTTACTTTAAGGAATAACAACAGTGTTACTATATAGTAAAAGTTCCATTTAAATTTAAACTACCATTTTGCCTCTCTTTTCCCCTATAAATGTACCTATAACCATTAATCTGAAGCGTTTAATTTTTCAAAGTACATTTATCCGATTACATCTTTGCTGCTTTAAAGTGTAAAAAAAGGTATGAGGAAATAAAACTAACCTTCTGGAAAAGGTCTACAAAAACATATCAAATCATTTTTTGTGAATATTAGACAAGAAAATATTGTCAAAATAAAAGTACAAGAAACAATGATACAAAAAAGGTCTCAACTTTTATAAAGAATTGCTACTTTGAACAATTGGATGCTTCTTTTTAGCATGTACAAATTAATGCTTTATTGCACTATTTTACCTCAAATTCAGTAAACTAATATTTTGCTGTCAGGAAAAATAATGTGAAAAATACTAAAATGACTCAAATGCTTCTGATTATAACTTGCATTTTGATAAAGAAATAAAACAAACATCTTGAAATAATGGAACCATCTTGAAATCAGCCACGACGTGAAAATTACAAAGACTGGTTTTTACGACAAAGAGGAGATAATATCCATCTCCATGGCAACAATAAATATATATATGAGTAATTCTATTGTGAAGTTAATGACAACCCAATACGATCACAGAGAGAGAGAGAATGTCAATAAGAAATGACCTGTTGGATTAGACGTCAAATCCAGAGATGTGAGAGAGGCGCTAGATTTTGGAGCGCAATGACGGACAACAGTAGTGAGGTGGTGGACTGGGAGACGTTAAATGATGCTAGTTACGTCTCGATAGGAGTGTATCTTATTACACTGGGTAAGTTCTTGACACTTTGATGTACTTTCGAGTTTTATTCAATGTCAAGTGCTTTACAATATGCTTATAGAAATGTCTGTTTACTTCTTGGAAATAGGAAAAAGAAAATTTTTACCATTTTGAAATTATCGAAAATGACATTTAAATGTAAAAGACCTACATAATGTAAAACTAGTATACTCGTATAATTTTTTTGAAATTATGGAGATGTTTTTCTTTAATGCATCTTTACTTCACAAAATTGACATCATTTCCCATGTGGGGGCATTATTTTAATTATTTTGTTTAATGAAAATTATGCTTTTGTTGAATCTGTGCAATGAAGAAAGTTAGTTACCACAAGCAAAACAAAATGTATACTCCCTGTTATAAGAAATGTACAATGGAGAAATTTCAATACATCAAAATACCATATACAAAATTCCAATGTTGTAGACAAGTTCATTCCAACAACTACTGAATTTTAACATCCTCACACAAACTAGGTAGAGAAACTTTTGCAAGGGAGGTAGTTTCTAAGTCAAGACCCGACATTGTAATCCAGTTTAAACTTCAGAGTGCAGTGTATCACAAATAAAAATTAGAGGTACTGTGAACACTGAGCTCACAAAATGATACCTCCCGCTTCCATATGAGTATAACGGCAAAGTCCATTTTTTTTTGCTATGGGAAACCCCAAATATCTGTCCGATAAAAAAAACATAGAGCAGAAGGTGCACAATGGTACTCTGTAATAAAAAATATTTGTGAAAGTCTCATTAAATTTTATTCAGTGGTAAAGGAGACGTTGCGGATAAGATATGTGTACCCCATATATTATAGAAAGAATAGCAAAGTCCATGTTTTGATATGTGAAAGCCGAAATATGTATCTGATCAAAAGGTAAAATAGAAGGTGTACAATGGCCCTATGTCTTCATGATTTTGTGAATGTCTCATTGAATTTTATTCAGTCGTATAGGAAGAGTTGTGGAAAAGGATGGAGATAACGAACATTGATTGATCTGAAACAATCTGAAAAGGATACAAATCTGTGAACAGGGCTTTAAACACGGACCCTGGAAATTCCAGAGGTTGGATCAGGAGCCTAGGAAGAGTAAGCATCCCCTATCGTCTAGTCACAGCTGCCTTGACTCCTATTTATTGATCAGGTAGAAGGAATATTCCGTAGTCAAATTAAATATAACAACAAAGGCTTAAAAACTGGTATGAAACACGTCAGCCAAAATACCACCCAATAATAGGATTATTTGCTAACGAAGTCATTATGGCGACCATAGAAATCACGGAATGCTGACTTTAAACTTATGTGTCAGTAGTCTTCCTCGGGTTTAAAAATTGATCGTACTCAGAGCAAGCTCTTGAGTATCGAATAATTTGGGAAACGTAACCACCAAATGCAGGTTATATGGAATATTACATAAATAAGGAAAGTTGACGAAGAAAAAGCTGAAGTCTTCTCGTTTGTCATATGATTTAGTTGTTAGTTGGTGCTTCTCGTCTATAGTCAGTAAAACATCCGAATATGATATGAGATGGGTACCCTTAAGTGTAGAACGGACGAACGTACAGCTAGACGGATCGACGGACGGACACTGAAATCACTATACACCCCCGTTTTTTAAGCTTTTTAAGCGGGGACGTATAATGAAAAGGTGGAGACTTTGAGATTTTTTTTAATGAAAAACATTCTCAGGAAATTAATTTTGTAATAATAGTCCAACTCTTACATCGAAATTCACACTAAGCTTCTTCTAACGAAATTAACAATAAAAAACAAAAACAAAAAAAAACAGGGACTTAGCAAGGAATTACTTCATGTTGAAGCTAATAAATGTGGCGAAGCTCTTCCAGAACTGGTGAATTCTCATTCTGAGAGCTTTTGAGTGCCCAGGAAAGGACATTTGAGTCAATTAATCTGAATTTTTGAAATGATGATTTACAATTAAGGACAAATGATTTCATATAGTGATAAATCTTCTATATCTCTTAGATGATTCGATACGCAAGGGTATGCTCTACGTATAAACAATTTCTAAAACGAGGTAAGTTATTAACAAAAAAGTTGATGAAACAAGAATATCAGCAGTCTAGTTTAAAGTCGTCATTTCGTTAAGTTCTATGGTCGATACAATGACCTTGTCAGCAAATACAACTTATCACCAAGTCAAATGCTGACTGACGTTTTTCATACTAATTGTTAGGTCATTATTTACACACTGAATTGTCGACGAATTTTTCCGTTATTTCCCGATCATGACAAGGAGAACACGGCGGGTGTGACCGGTCGGCAGGGGGTGCTCACTCCTCCATGACACCTGATCCCACCTCTGATGTTTTAGATGTCCGTGCTTGCTCTGCTCCAAAATTTGTATTGTTTAATGGACTTTTGAGCTTGAATACTGTTCGTTATCTCCATATATTTCATAACAAAGAAAGATATCGTTACATATTTATCGTTTATTAAAAAAGAAATACAAATCTTTTTTAAAATTATTCTTAATTAATGTTTAAGTGTTACTTTCTAAGCCTGTTTACCCCGACTTACAATGTTATGCTTCTTGAAATTTTATTACAGAGAACATAAATCGTTTTGAAACCAAAATATTGCACACTGTCACACGAAAGGTCATGGTCTGAAGGAACTATGCGTATGAAATAATTGTATGTTGATCTGCTGTGTTGTTATTTGTTTCCAGAAAAGAAGTGGATTTTGGTTGCATCAATGAATATTAATTTTTTTTAAAGTCATGATGATTTAAAAAAACCCAGATGAACGTACAGTTTAGCCCCCTGCTGAGTCTAATTTGAGCTTTTTCAGTGTTTCCTCAACGTACAATATTAATCAAATAATGAGCATATGCATTATTATCAATTTTATGTATTTTCTTTTTTTTAAAAAAAAGCTTTCTATTATGAATGCAAAAGAAGAAACTATTAGATTTAGGAGATAGAGTAAAATTTTCATATAAAGTTAATAGGATATCACTTTATCACAATTGTTTATGGTTATATGGAGACCACACCTGAGTACTCTTAGTGTTGAACGGGTTTATAATCGTTGCTGTTTCTTTTGATATTCACATTTCAGTCAAACTGGTGTTCAAAATATCTTTTTATTCTATGCTACAGTTTACGATAAGTGCATTCGTGTTAAGTTTGAGAGTCCTCTCCTTTTATTAATGTTTTAATAACACGAAGAATCTGACATTACATTCCATATTAACACTAGGAGCGCCTCCATCCATTAACAGACAAGTTCTGTACAAAGTGTCACCTACACAGAAGGTGACTGACAGGATTTTTTTCCTTCTTAAATATTTTTCAATTTTCACCTTTCAGGGTGATAATATATATTATACAATTCAAAATTTAACCCTTACCTGTAATTGCAAAATAGTATCTTATTTGAAGTTCGTTTTCTTATTTGCAACAGTATTGTTCATTGAAGAAATTATACAAGGAGTTCAAATTCGAGTCAAAATGAACCTTAATGAATGTAATTAGTCGAGCTTACCTTAGCTTGGACATAGTATTAATTAAATCTATCTGCTACATATATATGAACAATTTACAGTGTAGAAGAAAATGTACAAAATGAGATTTTGTTTTGCAAGTCTCAGAAAAAAAGGTCACTCGAGTCACCCAGGACCAGGAGAGCCATTAGTTTCCATCCTTCATACTACAGATTGTAAACTTAAGAACGTTTTTGTATTTCCCAAAACTCTTTAGTCAGTTTTCCACAATTTCTTTTCTTTATCCAAACGGAAACAAAGCCACTGAAGTTCTAGGTTCTCGTACGCTTTGACCAAAGAAATTACGAGAAATCTTCTAAAATAAATACAACCTCTATGATTCTCTCCCCTTGCAATTTTTGGAACTATTATTAATTATTATCTTTCTAATTTGTGAAATTCATGACAAATGAGTTCAGGGTTCAAACTAAGGTTAATGGGTCAAAGAAGATGCAGAACGTAGTTTATGGCATTTCTCTTATCCCTAAAGTGGCGGCCTAAACTGCAAGCAGGTAAACTGTGTGTTTGATTGTAATGAACATTTAGAACTCTTCCTAGACATTGATGAATGTGAAGTTTGTCCTCAGAGTCTGGGAATCAGGTCCATTCCATTTTAGCTCACCTGAGTCAAAGGCTCAAACGGTACTTTTATTACCACCAATAGTCAATCATTGAGCCAAAGGTTCAAGTGAGGTTATCCGATCGAAGGGTGTCCGTCTGTCTGTAAACTTTTCACATTTTCGTATTCTTCTCAAGATATACTAGGCTAATTTCAACCAAACTTGCCAAATAGAATCCTTGGGTGAAGGGAGATAATTTAGTGAAAATTCAATTGCATCTTTTGAACTTCTCAAGAACTACTGCGCAATAAAAAATAAACTTAAAGGAAAGCTTCATTACATAATGTATATTCAAGTTTTTTTTTCTTCAAATCATGACCCTTTTCTAGAAAGAGGAGTGTTTTGTTGGGCCACAATAGGCGATCAAAATTTTACAGAGGAATTTATAGGAATTGATTCTTCTTCTCAAGAACAGTAAAGCCCTGATTAGTAATATTGATATGGAAGCATCTTCAGATAGTGTAGATTTAAATTTGTTCAAATCATGACCCCCGGGCAAGGGTGGGGCCACAATAGGAGATCAAAGTTTTGCATACGATCTGCTGATGAGGAACATCAAGGCCAAAGTGACTCAGGTGAGCGTTGAAGCCCAAGGACCTCTTGTTTAATTCACTGTCAGCTTCCTTGATATACTAGTAATTGCGTGCTGGTATAACATTCTCTTTTCTCTCGGATCTGACCACTGAGAAGCAAGGTGAGTAAAACTCGGGCCTTCAATGTTTTGAAGCAAAGACATATCGTACACATGCGACTTTATAATTGTTTAAGGACATACCCAACGTAGTTTGAACTTAATTGTCTTTTTCCCTGGAGTTGAAGAGTTCCAATACTTAAAGGAACTTTGTGCTACATTTTAATGTCTATATATGCTGTTGTACACTTCTTCTAAAACAATTTTGGATAAACAAAACATACTGAATATATGTTCAGTAATTTTTGTATATTTTTCTTTCAATTATACAGGAATTTTCATTAATTGTTATCTTTTCAAAACCCCTGGTAATGCATGCTGATTTTTTGTCTACGAACATCTGATGGCACTTTAATCTAAAACAAAGAATATCTTGAAAAATTATCATTAGGTAAGGTACGTTGCGTATGTCCTTAAGTTCTAATGAAGTTACTATTTCTCTTGCAGCTCGGATGGACTGCTGGAAGAAAAACTAACAGAAACTTATAAAATCCTAGATTTCATTTTACAGTCAAAAATCCTCACTTTACCGGCGAAGATCCAAAGCATTTGTAGCATATGTATAAATTTTGCACTCTATCTGTACATAGCATTGTGCTATCGAAATATGTGAAAAAAAGATGATGAATCTCTCCCTATTTATATACTTCAAAGAAAATAGTTAATACTGATTGTGAATCTCTCTTGTACATTTGAATATATACTAAGAATGACTTGGAGCAAACTTTCCATAATGAATTTTGCACTATAATTTCTCTGTAATAATTAAGACACATAGTCATCTGATCGACAGAGGTGAAATCATATAAACCTATTATGTATAAGGATATGATTTATGCACCATATACATGTATCAACTCAACCAATCGAACAAACATGTGATATCCTTGCAGGTACTCAGATTAATTGAATCAGAATCGTGGTTTTCTTCCTCAGTGTTAGCAGGAATAATACCGGAATCACAATCATTAAGCTCTTTTACATATAACACGTCTTACATCAAAGTCACGGCTAAAATTACGTTTTATATGTGTCATTAGCATGTTTTGTGTGGCAATATCTTGGCCAAAGCCGCAGGCGTATCTCACAACATTTTGTGATAATGCAGGAATTTCACAGGCGAGCATGTTATTGCTCGGCCAATGTTCTTACTGATATTTTTGACTATTTTTTAAGAAAAATAAATAAGCTAATCCTTACGCTTAGTTTTACACATTTTTTCATGAGAATATAGAATTTTGATCACGTTCTTTCGACAAATAAGGTGTAGGTTCGTGGATAACCACGAAAACACATCATGAAATCGAGCAAATTAAAGTTTGCATTAGGATGCTCTATTAACTAGGCATTAATGACTTTTTTAAAAATAAATTTAGTACTGATTACAGTACAATTGGTGATGAATTGGTATTTTAAGCCAAAAGTAAAGATCTGGTAAAGGAAAGGGGCCATAGGTTTCTCAAATTTGAGAAATGATTATCTTTAATGATAATAATAAACAATAACTTGGTTCACTAAACAAACACATACGTATTAGTCTTTTAATTTATCCATTTGTTTATGCAGGGTTGCAATAATTAAGATTTGTAAGATTTTTATATAATGTTAAATGTATAACGCTATTTAGAGATACATAGAATGCAAAATGTAACATTAAAAGCTGCAGTTAATTAATAATCAAAGTTCGAAATCCATATTTTAAGCGCCCCATCCTCCTTAATTTTCCTTATTTAAATAAATCAATAATTTTAATAAAGTGATTACTTTTAATCTAAATTACTTCAAAAGTCAAACTTATTCTTTGAGGAGGCTAATCACACACTTTCTTTTTATTCGTAATCTGTAAAAAATAAGGAAACCACTATGGTCATTATTCCAGAGGAATAATTTATGTTTAAACTAAAGAACTAACCATGTGAAATCCAGTAAGTTACTGTAAGTTACGTGCTGTGATAAGAGTCTTGTCATTTTAAGTACAACTTAATTTACAATACATGGGATGATTAACTGTTAAGAAAGCGGCTTTTTGGTAAGAGATAATTTGAGTTAAGTCTCGCATTATACAGTCATCACGGAAAATCAATGTCATTAAACACCTTTCTGAAAATATCCTGTGATTTCTGCAGTTAAATATAAGTAATGTCTATTCCATCAACATCCACTCGGCATAAGAGGTGAAAATCAGTCTTTTTGTAGAAGGCCTGTCTCGGTTTCGTTTGTGTAGGTTTACAAATTCGGGGTTTTATTCATTGCTGTTGACGCTTCAACACCCCCCCCCCTCCTACACATCCACACAACCACAAGTTGTACACTCATAATGTAAATGGCGATTATTATATGAAATTAACAACTCATAGTTATATTTTTACCTTTTATAATTTACCCTTATCTCTCCACTTATAATACACATGACCTCCTTGACCTTTAAGAATCAACATCATCAAGATACATCTTTTAAATCTTAGTCAACAACATATTTAAGTTGGAATACATTTTCAATCAGGGGTTCCGGAGTTAAAAGCTTGAGGAGACAGAAGACATACATATGGATATTTTTTTCTTGTACTAAAGGATGCAGACTCACACAACTTCTGTTCAAGAAACCAGGCCTCGAGACCATAAACTGAGAACAGATTTAAGTAAAAATTTTGATTTTGAATATCTTGTGTTTTATTTAACACACATACTTAAAAATTTGCAGGTTTGTGTAATATTCCAATCAAAACATATGATGAAAATTTTATTTCATTATCGAAATTATTTCAGAAGTTATATTGATTTAAAATTTTGACTTAAGTCTGTTCTCAGTTTATGGTCTTGGGGCCAGAAGTAGAGTTAATTCATACAAAATTGTGCAAACTGTCAGATATTTTTCCTTAAAATTTTGCAATTTACTGTGTTTACTATTGATAAAGATTAAAGAAAATTCAATGTTCTTATTAAGAACAATTTTAAAATGAGGCAGTGTACCGACAAATAAGTTGTTGATACAAGGGTATATACGATATCGGTTAATGTCAACATTGGGGAAATTCTATGGTCGATACAATGACCTTGTCTGCAAATACAATTTGTCGTTAGGTCGAATGCTGACTGACTTCTTTTATACAAATTGTTAGGCCATTATTTTCATACTGAATGATCTGCAGATTTCTCGGCATACCCGATCATGACAAAGGACACACGACGGGTGTGACCGATCGACAGGTGATGATCCTCAATGGCACCTGATTCCAACCTCTGATGCTTTGAGTTCCTTGTTTGCTCTGCGTACAATTTGTATTGTTTCATTGGATATTTGAGCATGATTAGTCTTCGGTATCTTCACATTTCATAAAACACCCCCCCCCATTTATTGTAATAGTAAAATAGTAGTCTTTCTCCAAATTATAATGATATCCAGATTTGTTTATGTTTGATTGTTTGTTTTTGTATCTCTGTACATCAATTAGAATAATCTTAAGTTTTCGATTAGATTTCAATTCAGTCGTATCTACTTGTTTCCTTAATTAAACCGTTATGTCTCTTATCAATTATTATGTCTGACATTTGTTTGTCATAAAAAGACACTTGCCATTTTTCATGACAAAAAATATTTACGATCTATAACTTGTATGTTACTTGACAACTGACATTCCGACTTTGATTGGTTGATTGGTGAAAATACTGTGTATAAATAGTACTTAGTGAAATGCAATTGATCGATGAACACGTAATTAAAGAGGAATGATGCAGAAATATATTGAAATTAAGATGACAATTACTGGCCTTCATAATATCAGCCATGATCATTTAGTATTTTAGAACAATGCTAGTATTCACTTAGTCCGAAGGACCAGTTAACCATTCAACTTTCGAAACTTTGATGAATGAACATTGCTGAAGGCTAGTATATTTTATTGCCAAATATGACCAAACCTTCAACTTGATTATTGAAATAGAACAAAATAATAATAAAAAAAAAAAGCAACAGGCCAACAACCATGTACAGTTTAATGAAGATTAACAATTACGAGTATATGTTTGGTATTTTCAGCCCCTACAGCCATGTTTGGAAACTGTCTCGTTCTTTTTGTATTCTGGCGGAAGAGCTTGTACAAGAGACCGGTAAATTGGTTCATTGTCAATCTAGCGGTGGCGGATCTAACAGTTTCTCTTTTGGCACTTCCAATGTCAGCGACCACCGCCTTTAGCAAGAGGTAAGTGTTGTAATGTTAAAGAAATGGTCATGTTCATTAAAATAAGCACAAAAATATACATGTATTTTCCTATAGGTAGGCAAATAATCCCTCTAATAGAATTTGGAACTTCTAACATTTAATTCATTTTTCGCTATATGTCATTAAGAGATTTTTCATGGTAATAACATGAAATATGTACTTGCAAGATTTTTATCTGACTTATTTGAACTTTTTGTTTTCTTATAAAATTTTTTCATCATTCATCTGTCTGTCTGTCTGTGAAAAACTTTTAACAATTTGGACTTCTCCAAAGCCATGAAGACATTTTTCATTAAACTCGCCATGAAGCATCCTTGAGTGAAAGTAATTAAATTAATGCTTATTCTAATTAATAGTCATTTCACCTTCCAAAGCTGAAAAAATCAATAAGCTAAATAGCTCCTTCTCAAAACAGACAAGACCAAAAAAAAAAAAGTAAAAGCTTGTTTATACTGGTTCAAATCATGACCGATTGGGCCAGAGTAAGGCGTCAAAAATTTACATAGAAATACGTAGGGATATTATGTTTTGAAATCTTAAATGATTAGCAATGTCCATGATAGGTCAAATATATTCAAGCAGCCAATACAGTGTCTGGAAAACTATCTTAAGATTCTCATGGAAAGAACTATAGGACCATAATTTGTCAAATTAATATGCAAGCAAATTTATGAATTTTAGATTCCAGTTTACTTCATAAAAAGACCCCCTTGGCTTGGAAAAAGGCTTTAATGGGATAACAATGTATTAACAAAAATATACTGGAAAAAATCTTCAAAATCTTCTTATTAATACATGTAATTTAAAATCTGTATGCAAACAATCGCATGTTATGTACTTTAAGTTCATGCAAATTGTGATCTCTACCAGTGGAATCAATAGTGGAACCGCTAAGAGTATTTTTTAAACCAAACCATACAGATATCTGTACGAGGGTTGTTCGGAATGTTCGTGGACTATCGTCATAACCTTCTTACTTAACGTCATATTATATCCAAATTTGGAAGAAATATTTCAACGGTAAATTCAAACGATGTGTATTAAAAACTTTTAAAATATCGTGGTTTATTTCAAAATTATCTAGACTTAAAACATTCGAAATACGGATCATGGAGCAGGTCAAAATTTCGTAATTTACAATCAAGACACTAGATAATGTCTGAAGTCATATCTTCTGTAAAATGACACCGAAAAAAAAGAGGAAAAAAATTCTACACATTCAAATTAACAATTGTATCCGATTCCAATTTATGACTTAATATTTTGTATCGTTGAAAAGAAATCGGTTTCAGAAGATAGGTAGTCCTCATTGAAAAAGGCAAAAAAGATGACGTCGTAGAACGTCAGGGAGCAGCTCTTAACCATACAATTTTGTGTTGTGCTCTGGAAAACTCCAGCAAAAAATCTGAAAATGCCGGAGGAAGTAGGAAATATGTCAAAAGCGATCCATGCATGTGTGTGTACATGGTACAAGCGATATTTGAATGATATACTACTATGCTAATTTGTAAAAATTATATCAAAAACATAGAAAAGTTAGTAACGTCATGCTAAGAGTTTGGCTCTTCACAGATGCTGATCATGTGAAAGCCCATTTACGCAGTGAAAAAATTATATAGCATTGACAAACGAAATGATACTACTGGAACAATTGTTAGCAAAATTGATTTCAAGTGATAGAGAAACGTTTTTAATGAGTGCACTGGTATTGGGCAAAACAGCGTGCAATGTATAGGAATAGTATTTTTGAGAACCTCATGTCGGTATGTTTTTGACGTTGCGGTGTTATTGAGTTTGCTCCGTGGTTACAAAACGTGTTGATTTTAAAATTAAATAACATTAAGTCTATTAAATCACATGGAATGAAACTTCACATTTAAACAAAATAAACATTTTTACATATGATAATATGATCATTTCAAATTCTTGAGGATAGTATAACGAATATTGGCATAGTCCACGAACTTTCGATAACCCTCGTAAAAACACAAAGGTTACAATTTGCTAAATTTTCACCAAGCCCATATAAATTATTTTAAATTTTTGAAATCATGGACTGTAGTATGATGGTCATATAAAGGGTTTACATTGACGGGAAGAAAATTGTGAATTGTGAGTGTAGAGGCCCATGGGATCTTCTACATATAGTGTTGATTGTGAAAATGAGGAGTGGATCTCTAAGAGAGGTTTTTAGAATCACACACACACACACACCCTCACACACACACACTTTTTTGTTTTCAGCAAAACATGTTTTTTCATGTTTAGATTCTGTTTCTATTGTAATAAATGATTGAAATACAGGTGAACTTCGGTATCTCGAACACTGATATCTCGAATACCATGGATATGTCAAAGTGATTTGGAAGTTCCAATCCCTTACTCTTTTAGTATTTTACCATGGATATCTCGAATCTTCACATATCTCGAAGTTTTTGTTTTGGTCATTTCTGTATTTAGTGTTTTATAAATATATAGAGATGCAATATGCTCAACTTTCAACATGATTATATTTGTAGGTGGAACCTCGAAGTAGCAGGTTGTCAATTGTACGCTTTTATCAGTTTCGCAGGCGCTTGCAACAACATTTTGACTTATGCCGCTATTAGCTATTTCCGCTGCCAGATTGTCTGCAAGAACAGATACAGTAAGTTGATATTAGGATTGTTGTGAATTCAAAGAATTCCTAGAGAGATAAATCTGACAAGGATCAATAAAAGGGAAGAAACTTCACACAATGTATTTCTGATAACAATGACAAAGCCCAGCAGCGCAACATACTGTTAAATCACATATTTATGTGGGGTTCAATTTTCATGGATTGAGGAAAAACAATTTTGATTTCTTGGAAAGAATTGTTGAGTAGTTATGTATATGACATTTTACATTTCGTGGTGAATATGAATTCGTGGGTCTGCTCATACCTCGAAAACAACGAAAATGAAACCTCACAGAAATTAGTGATTTCACGGTAGTATGCAACAGATCACGTTTGGCGACTTCCATATTTAAAACTAAACCGGTATATTGTCGAAATATATTGATTTCTTTATGTTTTAGAACCAATAGTTCTGCCTAAATCAAAGTTTCAATGCAAATTTTTTGCCCAGCGTTCTTCTGGGTTTACAGAGCATTGATCTGTTTTCAAAGAATTTGAAGACAAAACAGGCAATAGCATTGTCAATGGCTTCTTTCAGCTACAGTACATTGGCGGAAACATTACAATTAAAATAAAGAAAAAAAGCTTAATGATTTTATTAAATGATTTAATGATTTTATTAAATGATTAAATGATTTAAAAACAAATTTTATTGAATAAACGTGAAAAGTGGCCCTTTAAAAGAGAAGAAAAAAAAACTTTAGCTACAAACAATACTACAATCAATTTTTAATTATGTGAAAATAAAACTTTGAATTCTAGTTCATTACGATTGCCAGAAAAACCTGAAGCTAATGAGGTCCTAAGTCTACTATACAGAATATTTTCCTTTACTTATAAACACATGATAAAACCATTATGCCTACGTATGTAAGAAAAAACCTAAGAAATATTACAACTATGGAAGTCGTAAAATGAATATATTATATTGTCAATTGCGAAATAATGCTAGTAATTTAAATGCTGATTTATTTAATCATTTTTTAAGGGAAGATCAAAATTGTGACATGTGCGGATATAGCTCTGAAACATCATTTCACTTTTTTATGAAATGTCCAAAATATTGTGTACAAAGGCAAAACCTTATGCAAAACTTTAATACTTTGCAATTACCAATGCCTATATCCTTACAACTTATTCTGAATGGAGACAATAATCTTACTTACAACCAAAATATTGCCGTATTTAAAATTGTTCAAGAATTTATTGCATCTACAAAGAGATTTGCATGATATTGATTCTTTTTTTTTTTAATTTTGTCAAACCACAGAACCAACATCTATTTATGTGTTCTTATTAACTTTCACATTTATACTTGTATTATTATAATTATCAGTCATATATGTTAAATGCAAACTTATATAGTATCATCAGCTCATTTATATTTTTTCCCTACTTATTTTGTCTTCTTTATATATATATATATATATATATATATATATATATATATATATATATATATATATATATATATATATATATATATATATATAAATCTCTTTAGAATATACACATGTATATATTTTTTCAATGTTATGTAATTAATATTTACTGTAACATGTATGACTTGACCTGTATTGTGGAGAGGACTTATATAGGTAGTGCCTGCTGTCCAATCAAGTTATGTTTAATCATAATAAAATATTGTTTAAATTAAAATTAAAAATTATAGAAGTACTACATTTAACTTCAGCTCACTTGTATAAACCTCAATCTGAACATTTCAGTAGCCCGAGTAAAGTATGGGCGGATCCTGGGAACTTTAGTGGCGATCTGGAGCTTCAGTATTCTTTGGACTCTTTCCCCACTCCTGGGATGGAACACTTATGAGTTGGAGCCGTACAACATAACCTGTAGTATTCGCTGGACTGGTCACTCGCTTGGTGATAAGTCCTATGTATGGCTGTGTTTGCTGTTTGTCTATATATTCCCGATGACCGTCATGATTTTCTCCTACGGTCAAATTGCTAACCATGCACGACGCCTCTCCTCCACTACCCAACCCAGCGATACCGAGAACAAGTCCAAGTTCCTGTATAACCTAGAGAAAGGGGCAACAAGGGTAAGAAATCCAAGGAGTGTTCAGAATTTTAGGTCAAGTATTTTTCATTTTGTGATGATAGTCTAAATGTCATTTCAGAAAAGTATATAAATAATACTTCTTTCAAAACAAGTTAAAGTAAATTTGTTGTCAGCACTTTAACTCTTGTTCAGTTTTCCCAAGCTTACGAACATCTTTGATTATCCATGAACCTTATAATTGTACTAATAGAGGAATTTCAGAAGAAGCCCTATGATTATAGAGTTCATTAACACTATCAAATAACTAGGTCAATGACCTACTTATCATGCTAGTGGCCCCTGAGTATTTCTCGGAAAATATTCCATTTTTTCACCAATGTTTTCTTTAATTACAAAATATAACAAAAACAATATTCTTTGGATGATGAAATATATTGAAGAGGGATGAGTGTTGCCAAAATATAGATAAACAAAATTTGTACAGTAAGCTTGTTAAATATTCCAGTCCAAATTTCCTCTGTCTATTTTATCCATTCTTCATAATATATAATAAATTATACTAAAAATCTTATTATCTTAACTTTCAGAATAATATCTTTAGAAAAAAAATGTTAAAAATGAAAAATTAAAATTTTGCCCGAATGTCCTCTGCATAACCATAATTTTACCTTTGTTCTCACATAATCTTTTTATTAGAAAAAGATTAAATTTTGATACTGCTATTGATTTATTACATGGTATTCAAGTCCATGTAGACCATTTTTTTTATTTTAAAATATTTTACTTTATAGCAATCATACTGTCAACCAAAACTCTGAGGAAAGGTTATTCTAAAGGAAAGGATTAAAAACTAAAGTTGAAATGCCAAATAACTTTTATCTACAACAACAATAAATTTTTATTTAAATTTTTTTTTATGATCAATGGGTGGTTACAAATATTTACTTGTATCTACAAACACAAATGATCGAGAGGTGGTTAAAAATATTGACTTTATTTACCCACAATTTTCTTTACTTTGTATCATCCAAAGGTGGGTAAAAATAGTAAATCGTTATTATTAATCAACAATTAATCTTTTATGCCAGGATATGTTTATCTTTACATGTATGTTCCAAAGAACTGTCAACGAGAGTTCTCAACGTCTTTGAGCGATTGCATTTATTGTAAAACTACGTGCACTGTCATACATCTGTCATCAACACAATTGATATTTCTACTGATTTACATTTTTTTCCTATTGGCAGATTTCCCTCATGATGACAGTGACATTCGTATTTACTTGGACACCTTATGCCATCTTGTCTACAGTAGCTGCAGCTGGTATTAACATCACATCACCGATCGCATTACTACCAACACTATTCGCAAAATCCTCTTGTGCATACAATCCATTTATGTTCTTTCTAAGCCACAATACATTCAAATCTTTCAAATGGGGCTTCGCCTCGTGCACGAAAAACAATGCCGAGGATTCTGGGAGGCTATACATGAGCAGGGTGAAGTTTAACAATCGTGTGGAACCTTCAGATTTACCCAGGTGTTCCACAGGTGAGAGGAATGTGACACAAACTACAAAACAACATCACAGCAATTTAAAAGGTGTTACACTAACCATTTCTGACGTGGAAGAAACTGGTGTTTAATGAAAAAAGGTCTACTGTGGAATGATCAATGTTCGTGGAGGACCAACGTTCGTGGATTTCGTGGGTCATCCTTATTTACGAACGTTGGTCCCCCACGAAAAATTATTTTTTCAACATTTTTTCATTGAATCTTCTGTATATACGACTTACCCACGAAAGTACGTCCCCACGAACGAACAAAATTTTGTTTGCCCACAAACATTGACCCCCACGAATTTAAATGATTCCACAGTATTTAGATAAGTAAATCAAATCATGCAGGTATGGATATATCGGATTGGAAAACAAGTATATTTCCAAAAACTTTCCATATCTATTTTACTATCTGAAAAGAAAAAAGTCATTTTATATATCATAAGGTATGTTTGATTCATCTTATATTCGCATCTTGTTATCTTCAGTTGTCACAATTCTGTGGCTGAGACATTGTAATTTTCATGCCAAGATGTGTAAAATTTGATATCCAATAAAAGCAGTCATCGGACAGATTTATTTAAATACAGTTTTATTTCCTTTCTGAGTGCTTCTATGTTTGAATATTGAAGTATCCATTATACATTAGAATTAGATTTTGGAAAATAATGAGCTATTTATATTGAATTTCAACTATATCTGACGTTTAACTGACGATTTGGATGGATGACAAATAACATACTCTCTTCTTAAGTATACAAACCTATCTTATCAACAAAGAAGAACACTAGGTCTGGCTCCATTGAAGAGGAAGCGTAATTACTATGTAGATCAGTTGACTATTCATTAGTGCTCTTATAAAAGGTAGGTTTTACAGCTGTAGTTACAGTTTTATTTAACTGTAAGAATACACTAGTTCTCCACATATATTTAAAAGTAAGAAAAAATTGCGCGATGATAAACATTTTCTGGAATGCATAATTTAAAAGCCTTTATTATATCTTCTGCAAAGTTTATTCAGAAATAGTCTTCCTAATCATTGTAATTAACTACGGATGCGTTCCATTCATTCGTTCCGATTCGATTCCGGACGTTCTGTTCTCCTTGATGAATGGAATGAACCGGAACAGAAGAGAAATTTTCAACATGGCTGCCAATGGGCGGAAAACCTGTCTGCTTTTTTTTTATATCAAGATTCCGACACTGACTCTGATTCTGAGGACGAAAATATCTTATTACCTGCACTAGCAGGCGCTATGTAAGTAAAGGCTATTTATGAATCAATTAAAAACTAAAAGGTTTTTGATCACGTGTGTTTTATAGTGGCTTAGGTATTAGTATTGAAACAAAAATGAAAAAAAAAAAACTAAATGAGGTTGGCATATGAAATAAATATTCATTTGGATGTTTTTTATTTACAGAAAGAAAGAAAAACCAAAAATATATGGATATGTGGAGGATGTGGTTCCCCTTTATTCTGATGCTTCATTTAGAAGAATGTTTCGACTGTCAAGACAGACATTTCAAATCCTCTCTTCATATCTAGAGGAAGTTCCAGAGATGAAGAAAGACGGTAATGGTGGTAAAGAACGAATGTCTCCACAAAAAGATATTTTAACCACATTATGGTACTTAGGGACTCTCGACAGCATTGACAGGATAGCAGACCGTTTTGGCATTTCGCCATCCTCGGTAATCAGGGCTAGAGACCGAGTTATGAATTCAATTCTAACTCATCTCAAGTCAAAATTTATAAAATGGCCCAATCCCAATGAATTAAATCAAATCGCAAACAATTTCCAGCAAAAGAACGGATTTCCAGGGATTGCTGGTGCATTAGATGGGACTCATATTAGAATAGCAAAACCAACAAACCATGGAGATTCATACATCAATAGGAAGGGATTTCCTTCCTTGCAGTTACAAGCGGTATGCAAGGAAGACATGATGTTTACTCATGTATTTACCGGATTTCCAGGAAGCTGTCACGACGCAAGAGTTTTTAGGAATTCCGATTTATGGGAAAATGGATTACAAATGATTCCAAATATATACCATATCATAGCTGACGCAGCCTATCCACTAAGAATATGGCTACTCACTCCCTACCGAGACAATGGTCACCTGACACACGAGCAACGCCGCTATAACAACTACCTGTCCAGCAACAGAATGGTAATTGAGAGAGCATTTGCTCTTCTGAAGGGTAGATTCCGCCGATTGCGTTTCCTGGAAACCCAGAAAATTGAGTATGCTGTCAAAATTATCATGACCTCTTGTGTTTTACATAATGTCTGCATTTTCAACCATGATGAAGTCGACGATTTCATTCAGCAAGATGTTATTGCAGCAAATTATAATGTTCCAGGAATCCAGGACTGTGAAGCCCAGGGTGTACAGAAACGTAATCAAATAGCCAGGAATCTTTTGTGATAGGCTAACTTCAGAATGAATGCATCATGTTTTTAAACATCATATTCAATAAAGAATACAGTAACTGTTCAATACAATTTAATACAGAAAAATATAACAATGTAACAAAACTCAACAAAAGATGTCAAATCGAACTTATATGTTTTTTTATGTAAATAAAACTATGGAACATGTCAAAAAGAGTAAGATATATCTTGACAGGTATTTAAAGTCAGCTGTAAAAAGTCCTTTACAGATGTTTTGATGAAATTTACATTGTAATCCATGTATTAAGACTACATGCCACAAACATTCTTTTCCTTACAGCTTAAAAGATAATAACAACAAATGATACTTAAGTTCAATATATCATGGTCATGGAAGAAAAAAAAGATTGTTTCTCCAATAGACATTGCCATAAATGAACGTAATACAAGGTCAAAAAATTAATTATTCATTGCAGCTGCCTACAAATCCACTTATAGATTCAATGAATCTAACCCCCCACCCCCATTTCACCTATTCATCAAACTTATTTTTTAACACTTAAGTTTAAGAGAATTTAGTTGTCTAAGCAATAAATATTACAAAAATTTTACTTAGTTCTCAATTATGTCCATCAATGAACTTGGTTAGGAACTCAAATAAAGCAGGTTGGTGCATTCAAGCATCCTTTAAAAGTCACAAGATTTGTAATGTATAAAAGCCAAACTATTTCTTTAAAAAAAAAAACTATCTAGCCACTCTTAGAATTGTGGGTAAACAACTGCAAACAAAGTTTTTTTTTTAGCTGTAGCCAAGTCTAAATTACATGTAATACATTATCCATCCATGTTTTTTTTTTCAGTTCCAAGCAAGTAATCATGAACTAATGTAGAAAAAAATGTTTAATACTTGGACATAATAAAATAGAAAAATGACAATGAAAATAACCTGTTTGGGAGTTTGTAGCAAATAATAAAAACTATTTGTTAAATTGTACCAAAACAAAATAAAAAATGCAAACAATTCTGACTAGCAATTATCCAATAACAGTTTGTGTAATGTATAGTACATAGTTGAATTTTCAGGAGAATAACTTTTCCTCTGCAAGAAAAAAAATCAACAAACAGATGAAACAAAAACAACTGCATTGCTTTCAGTGATAAAACGAAATATTAAAAATCCTACCACAAATACTTTGAAAAGTTTTATGGCACAACTCAGAACAAGTTTTAAAAAATGAAAGAAACCATTCACTATTTTGTGCCCTTGTGCTTAAGAGTCTATGTAAAAAACACTTTAACTTTTTTCGCAATTCTTGATCTGCATATTGGACAGACTTCTAGAGCTTTGCTGTATGGAATACAGCACACAAGGTGGCCACAGTCAACAAACACTACTTCTTTTGGATGACTTTCTTCCATGCAGATTTCACATTCACCTGAAAAGAGATTATATCAACAAAAATTAAACAGGAGTTCCTATGAGCAAAGTCAAGATCATGTAATATGTAATCTTTAACATGGAGTAAGAACTTGTAAATGGATTAAATGTAACAATAGTACATGACTGTACATGTATTGTAAAAATAATGACCAAACGCATGTAATGGAATGTTTCCTACTCTTTGATTTCAAGGAACTAAATGTGTACATGTATTTAATATAATAATGTTAAAATTAAAATTAGATAATTCAATTTTCTAAGGATTTACACAAAAAGTACAAGTAAATACATGTAATAATAATTTTCAGCCATATGCATATTTTAATTTTATCATGTAAGGATATTTGTGCTGAGCCAAGGTATAAGGAACACAACACTCACTAGTGATGTGCTCCCATTGTCTCAATGAGTTTTTTCATCAAATCCATCTTTTCATGATGCATTTTTTCTTTACGCTCACTTTCCTCCTTTCTTCTTTTTTCCTGATTTTCAATAAAGTTTTTCATTACATCAATGACCTCTGTTGAAGTAGATGTACGCTTTCTTTTCTTTGGATTAGTACCTGAACCTGATGGTGTGGGCGTAGACGACCTTGAACTCTCATCGTCACCATCCTCTGAATCGTTGGGAACTTCTGCAGAAATTTTGGAGTCAGTGCTACAGGCAGTTACTTCTGGAGTAATGGCAGGATCTTTGGAATATATTTCATCCAATTCAGACTCATATTCAAAACGCTTTTCTTCCAGTTCCACTTTTCTTCTTATTGTCTTTGACTGCTTTGTATCCTCTCTGCAAAGTCTTCCATCTCCCTGAGACTTGCTCATGATTATAGGAGTATCCTTCATCTTTCATCCCTGTGGCAATTTCCTCCCACATGGTTTTCTTCTTGATCAAACCTTTCTTAATTTTCTCTTGATATGTTTTGTATTTGGTTATTAGAAGTAAGGTACTAGAGCGTGTCCAAGACATACCTATATCCGCAGTACTGCATGAGGCAACTTTACTCTCCTTTTCATCTCCTAGAAAACATTAAAATTAATAAATATATACTTTCAATGCTTAACATTTAAAAAAAATACATGTTAGACACAACCTGTTACATGTATTTATTTATGGTGTTTATTCCAGAATATGAAGATCATATACTATATAGAATTACTTCTTTTGAGTAACAGTTTCAATATTTTTCTCTTGATGTGAAATATATCTACTCCTATGTAATTAGTACAAAATTAGTTACTACTTATTATGGGAGGAGGAAATATTAATCTCTTGAAAGTGCAACCTCCCAGGTATACTAATCTGTAAAATTTTTAACTTTAACATTAATTACCTGATGATGGTGTTTCTGCTAGTGGTTTCTGACATATGTGCTCAGACATCAACTCCATGTCGTTGAAGTATATGCTGCACTTGTGGCACTGGGTTATCGTGCGTTTTTTCATTTGACTTTCGGCATTAATTTCATGTGCTGTTTGTTTTGTCACAAGGATGGAATTATTTTCTCCGCCTAAATGAGAAAAAATATCTTTTATACTAATAGTATACATTAATATCAAAGTACATACTGCTGCATTGCAAATTATAAAACTCAATTGCAAAAGATATAAATGGCAGAATTAAAAAGGGGGAGGGGTGCTAAAAGGTAAACCTTCATTTAGTTAATACCATTTGGATATGCTTTCAAAAAGACGAGGAGATTCGAAAAAAGATCGCCACTGTGATCGACCCCTTTCCCTACTATTACAATTTTTACTTGTCCTTTTTAATACACTTTTTTCCTCGTAAATATGTCATTTTTTAGGTTTGTACCCCCCCCCCACTTTCCCTTTAAAAATCTAAGATTTTCTTGACCCATCTTGGGCCTTTATGATGGCTAATAAGGTGCGCACTAAATATCCCTATAAATTTAAGTTTTTAAATAAGCATTTGCAGTAAAACGTATACACAGTAACAAAACTCACTTGATTCCGTTGTGCATCTATGCATTTTAACATCATCTAAGCTGGAAAAGTACAAATTGCAGTCTTCACATTGATAAAGCACGTTTTTCTCCGCCATTTTTGTTACGTAATAATTCCCGCTGCACCACCTCTTTAGAAAGGATAGAGAGAATCCGTCCGGAATCGGATTCCAAATCGTTCCATTGCAATTCTACGCGTTCTGGACTTTCGGAAGCGTGAAAGGAACGCACCCCATATATATAGGAGAGGGTAATTTTTTATATATGAAGTGCAAATATGTCATTATCTTTTTCAACAAAGAAAACCCATTATGACAATATAACAGCATCAAATTAATATATAAAACATTCAAACACCTACGATATAAATTCGTAAAAAAATTGCAGGAGTAAAATTAACCCGATATACAGTATATATCCACAATTGGCCACGACAAACTTAAAGAATGCATACATTCATAGAAGCAGATTTTGAAAGCATTATAGATGGTAGTCACATTTACTTGTTTGATAACTACAATGTCTACATCTGCTTTCATTAAAGGCCATTATCACTGAGAAATCTTTAAAATCGTATAAAACATTGTTTCATTTTAAACTATCCTTTCAAATTTCAATAAAATTAAAAATAAACAATTCAAAACGGTCCTGAAAGAAATAAATCGTCAAATGTCATGTAAAAAAAACTTACAAAAATTACAAAAAAAAAAAAGCCATAATTTAAATTAAACGGGGTTAAAATGCCACAAAACGCCCACTCAGAAACTACCTATACACAGTAGTATTCTAAACTTAAATGTTATATCGGAAAGTTGAATTTGTTCAAAAGATTTCCATTTTCGGTTCAGAATCGAAAGAAACTAAAACTTTATCATTAGCTCTGCTATCGTGCATCCTGTATTGATTCAATATCCAAATTGGATTTTTGAAAAAAAAAAAAAAAAAAAATGGAAACAGAGGTTTGATCAAATTATTGATCCATGAAAAGCAGAAACTCCGATAAAAATGCAAATTTTCATGAAAATGAAACTGACCTAAAACTCTGATGTGCACAGTATAGTTCTTAATTCGGATCCAAGATCTCTAGGTTTAGATTTAAAAAAAGAAGAAATCTTTGACGCTTTGAGTGTTCTAATTGTCAGAACCATCATTTATTAATTTTATTTAACAAGTAATTTCCTTTCTCGAAATGTACACAATGGTACAGACCAAAATACCTGATAATTGTCTTATCAAAGCAAGTTGAATTTAATGTTGAATCTATTACAGCAACTGCCTTGCAAGTGTAGAAACTATTAAGAATTGAAACACCCCAAAATTGAGCTGAGTAAAATTCTAAGGCTAGAGGAAATATTTCCACAACATCTATACATGATAACAATAATTCTGCTTCTAAAATATTTTTTGTAATAAAAGTATCTACATACGTATTTTAGTATATAAAATTTATGCAACATTAGTATTGCAGCCAAAAACTTGAATAAATCCTGCTTAGAAAATAATATTTATTCAAAAAGACTGTTCATAGTTATAGTCCTATCCAGTGTGGATAGAAATAATCCATATAGTCTGAGCTATAGGCAATTCGACGTTTTGAATCTTCCACAATCGGCCATTTGTAATACGTCACTGTTCCGTTTGTGAACCAGCCAGCCCACCAGCTGTAGGAACCCACTGAGGATATCATGTGATCACAAGACGCCATTAAAGCCAAATCTTCTTCCGGGGAATTCCCGTAGATAAGTTCGACCGTGTAGTTTTTTGGCATATTTGCTTTACTCCAAGCCAGACCATTGGAACAAACAACATAAACTGGACTGAGGTAACTGCTAAAGAATTGGATTGCTTTTTCAAAGTACTCCTTGGTTGCAACCAAATAGCCATGTCCAGAGTTGACCATGTCACCACGTCTCACGTGGATAGCGATCAAAGTAACAGTCTCCCTGGATGTATTATATTTCCTTAAAATATTTTCCATGATGTTATCTGCTTTTGTCTGAATGTGGCTCCTAAACCTGAGGATTTCTCGTAGTTCACGTGATACATTATGAAAATATTTCCATGACTGTAAATATCGCCCCACTCTATATGTTGCATTTGGTTTAAAATCTTCAACATTTTCATCATATGCACTCGCTTGATGTTCTCTACGAAATATTGCGCTGTCACACTCGTGTTTGTATGTGCTGATGAGAATGTTTTTATTATCTTTTATTTGAAATATTTGGTAAATTTTATCATTTACTCCGACTACTAACTTCATACCTTTAGAGGCAGCAATTCCATAGCCTGATGCAAACTGAAATAACTTATTCCCAATTCTTCCTATGTACTTAACACACACATAAAACTCTTTCGACATATTTGTTGTGGTAGATACTGGGAGGAATGTAGTTTTGGCAACAGAAGACAACTTCGACATTCCTGTATTGACAGTTTTTAAAGATGGAACTATGTTTCTCCAAGTCAATAGTGACGAAGTGTTCCATTCTGCATGTGCTATGGAGATATATGTTTTTCTTTTGGAATTTGGCGTCTCCATTGATTTGTCTAGATCTATGGTACCTATGACATTATTTGAAGACACCTGGTGTTTTCGTATAGTATCATTTATAATTCTGATGGGACTATATTGAGCTGGTCCAACATGATTGGTCATAATGATGAGGGAAACAGCAGTTATCAACATTGCAAACAGACTCGCAACAACGTATGCTAAATCTGCAATGATAAAATAACACAGAATAACATACTCTATAGATTCATGGGTTGTCATTTGTACTTGTACAGCAATTTCCTGGATTTTATGTCGAAAAACAAGAAATTATATTGCCTCATGGAATGCTTGCAAGAGGAATCCAATCATTATATTAAACGAATAAATATTGAATAAAATGCAAAGCGAATATGAATTGATTTACTTACAGCGTTTTACATTCAAGGATATAGCTGACCTTGTTTCTCTACTTTTCATTTTGACTCATAAGAAAATCTTTCATTTGAAGAATAAAGCCTAGAAAAAAAATATTGAAAAGTAAATATTGTAAACTGTAAAAGGTAGACTGGGTATCTACATTCATAGCTTAAAATCATACGACTGAGATGCTCACTTGTTTTGAAATAAATAAATAATCGCCTTACGGAATATACTTGAATATATTACCCCCGGTTGGGGCGGGAGTGAGTGTCCTTATAAAGCGAATTTCTCTTTGCTTTCTATATTAATATTTCTTCACGTAGGACAGCTATGTTAATTTAAAAGTTATTGTAAATTAAGACTGCAAGTATTGTAAATTAAGACTGCTTTGAAAATAATGTTAATTTCATTGCAATATGTATCGGTAACGATCCCCTAATAAAACAATAATGTTCAAATAGCTGCATCTCACTTCCATTCTCAATGACCATGTAGTGGGGGGGGGGGGGGCGGCATGGTCATCCATCGGTGTTGAAGGCAAGTTTTTGACTTGCTTAGATTGCCGAGTGATCTAAAGCGCTGTTCCCGCACTGCTAGGAGACAGATTCCGCAGTTCGAGAGGTTTTCAGTTTACAAGAGACGGTGTTTTAGACATATCTTGAGTGAAATGAAATAACACACTTAAGTCATGCTCTCACTCAATGCGTCATGAACTCAAATACTTTATATCACCAAAGAGTAAGTGCACAGAGTTTTAATTTTCTTTTTTACAAGAGAAAAAAGGAAACAACGACAAGGCTATCATTCTAAATCATTCGCTATTTTTTTTTATTCATTTCTTTATCTATCTTTTGCATAACTAATGATAAAATTGCCATTAATATTAATACATCTGTATGCACATATAACATATCATAATGAAGGGACAATGTTTCTAGGAAAGGTATGTAGGTAGGTCACTCACGTTAAAGGTACAAGTAGTTCAATCATGAATTTTGACTTCTTTGAGTTATTTCATCCATGTTTCTCCCCTCATATATGAGTATTAAGTATGATGCCTAACAGTATATAATCCTTTAATATATTTGATTTGAACATTATATTTCATAATCTAACCATTTTGGAAGAAAATAAATCTCAAACAGTACAGGATATTGAGAGCAACTAATGATTGTTAACAATCTTAATCTCAGGAGAAAATAGGAGATTATTGAACATATATTTGGTATTTTTCAAGGACGAAAACCTTATCTTTTAAAAATACATTCTCCTTTTCCCATAAATCTATCTTATACCCATTTCCATGGATAAACACTTAGTCTGATATATTATTTGAACCAAGGAATATTAATTTGTTTTTTTTTCTGAAGTTAACTTGCAGTTTATCGGATTTGTTTGTTTGTTTGTTTAACGTTCCTTTCGAGAATTTTTCACTCATATTGAGACGCCACCACTTGCCGGTGGAGAGCTGCAAATTTAGACCTATACCCTGCACTCTGGGCCATTGAGCAGTGAAGAGTCTTTTTCGTGCCAGCACCTGCTGTGACACTGGACTTCGGTTTATACGATCTTAGCCCAAGGACCGGTCTCCACGTCCCCCAGTGGGATTCGAACCCGCGACGTAAAGATCATCTTTCTCCTCTACTGTAGAGCAAACGTTCCAATCACTGCGCCACGCAGGCGACTTATTGAATTTTTGTACGCATTCAAACAAATATCTACCGTGTTAATATATTTCAAGATTCAAAATTAACGTATTAATCCAAATTTAAATGAGACGAAATTAATATATTAGAACAAAATGAATATTTACTTACTAAAATTTGAGACATTTTGTATTTGTTAACACACCTGATACATATCCTTCTCGTGATTCAGCTCATTAATGAAATCAACTACATGTAGTCCCCGAGTAGTTAATATATACCGATATACCCCAGCAGCTATTATGGTTATCATTATGTACATTAATTCATTTCTAGTGATTCATTGTCCTAGTTGTACATATAACAAATAAATGACTGAAAATGTTCAAGGAAGGTGTTTCTGCAATACCTAGAGTTTACATTAATTTTTCCATAAATATTCCTTATTCCTGAAGAGACATAATTTGTCGAAATGCGCATCTGGTCATCAAAATTTATACCGTATATGGTTTTCATGAGAAAGAAATATGTAAAATCAGACATTTTTTGCTCCTGAAGAATATAATGTTAAAGTCTGAGATTTATCTATATACTATATACGCACTCCGTGAAACAGTGAAAACGATCTTTTTTTACTTCCAGCTTATTTGCTGGTCATTGCTGGCTTTGTCAAATATTTTTCTTACCTTTTCACATACATGTGTCATGAATAGAAGACAAAAAATGCAGTCCTCGATCAAAATGAACTTTACAGTAAAAGTTAGACAGACATTTGTAAAGAAAGTATTGTTAGATCATAGCCGAGGATAGTGTGATGTTTTTGTTTTGGATACGTAAGTTTGCATACCCTGCCATTTGTCATCTGCACATTATTCTGTAAAAAACATTCTGATTCTACACACAAGTACTCTGAGGTTGATATAAAGATGCTTGAGTTTCTCATTGACAATATCTATGTAATCTTTGAAGACCAGGTCTTCCATCAATTTGACTTTTAGTATATCGATGACGTTTTATCAATTAACAATATACATTTTCATTCCCAATATACCACTACCACTGCATTTGCCGTTTATGTCTCCCAGTCGATACGATATGCAAGAGCATGTTCTACGTACGAACAATTTCTAATACAGGGCAGGCTGCTGACAAATAAGTTGATGATTGAAGGATATCGACAATCTCGTTTAAATCAGCATTTTGCAAATTCTAAGGTCAATACAATGACCTTGATCGTAAATACAATATATCGGTAGGTCGAATGTTGACTGACGTCTTTCATACAAATTGTTAAGACAATTTTATACAATGAATTGTCTACGGCCTTTTTTCCGTTCACCCGATCATGACAAGGAGCACAGGCGGGTGGTTTTTTTTGTGCATTTTTGTATTGATTTGTATGTTTTCAATTATTTTTTAACAGTTTCTTTTTTAAAAAACTAGCTCTTTCGTCTTGTTTGTCCCAATTGAATCCGTAAATTGTTAATGATGTCACAAACGGCATGGATGGCCCTTGTTTTATGAAAAAAAAATCAAAAAAAAAAATCATTTTTTAAACATTCTACCCAAGAAAAATGCGCGATCCCTGCTTAAAAACGCATTATATGCGTAAAAGATAGTTAATTTGCGCTGTAAAATATTACATTTTGCATTAAAATATATTTTAATTTTATTTTCTGACTAAAATCGGGTAGATCTATTCAAAAAGCATTGATACATACCAAAATCACCCATATTGCAAGCATTATTTTGAAATTACTGATGGGTTAATGGATATTTTACTGAATTTGTAAAATGACATCAACATCGCGCGCAACCTCCCAACAATTACACAGATATTGTCAATCAGAAATTCCAGCATCTTCTTAATACATATATCTACCTATAAAAAATAATGGAAGGAGTGGAATGATTTTCATAAAATAGTTTTCTGGATGACTAATGATAAAATATGTTCATTCACATCAAAGTGTCCTTCTTTTTCTTTGTTCATTTCATTTGTTGAATATGATACATCATTTGTTATTCTCTTACTTTGCTTGTATGTGGAGTGTTTCGAAGTTTTAACTTTACCTATTTTATTATATTTGCCCATTTTTTTTTTTTTTACAGATACAGTTATTTCACAAATTGACTTCCTACATTCCTGTTTCAATAAAGTGAGAAATGTTCTGTTTGAGCATGCATGTAGCTTTTCGTCTCAGCAAAATTTATTTTATGTAAACTGAAACATCACCATTCTACGACCCATGCAAGCAAAAGTTGTGAAGGTCTTTATCCTGGTAAAGCATATCGTGACAGGGACATCCGCTAATCCTGAATGTTTGGAAAAGCAGCAGTCACACTTATTTTGAAGTCTTGGGTTGGAAAGGGTGAGCCTTGTGTATTGAGCATATGTAAACGGAATATTCTGCAGTCAAATTTAAAGAAACGAAGGCCTAAGATTTGATATGAAATATTTCAAACAAGGTACTACCCAGTGGTTATATTTGCTAACAAGGTCATCATATCGACCATAGAATTACGAAATGCTGACTTTAAACAGGGTTGTTGAAATACCTGCAACATCAACTTATGTGTCAGTAGGCTGCCTCGGTTTAAATGTTGATCGTACTTAGAGCATGCTCTTGAGTGTTGAATAAGACAGTAGACATAAATACCATACATATATGCAGGTGATAGCGGGATTGTATACGCACTTTGTATGATTAATCAATGTTTTATATGCGTGATTAATCATTTTTATGCTGATGTCTTACAAAAAAATTGTCTTTATAATTTAGCCATTAAAAATGTATTATACATGAATAAAAAAAATTGAGTCATTATTGATGAAACTTTTAACTATCGCACAAGGACAAAGAACATTGTATAAATTAAAAAAAAAAAGTATTTAAAACAGTGGGATTTATTTCAATGTTATTCATAATTGTAATAGAGTCAGAAAAATACTAGTATGGCTGAGTATTTTGAAATTTATATATTGGTTATATATTGCGGTATTTCCATCCCTTACAATTTTATATTTGTATAAAATTTTTCTACCATCGAAAGGAACCTTAGCAAGGTATAATCAGAGAGTGGAGCTGGTCTATCGATTAGGCTTGTCTGTCACATGCAACATTTATATATTAATTTTTTTTTACTTTAATATTTTTCATTCCTTAAGGATGACGTTTACTCAAGGTTTTAGTTGCCAGAAATGGATTGCTATAAAGTACAATATATTAAATCAAAAATAAAAAAAATAAACAAAATTAAGACATAATAAATCAATATTAATATCAAAATTTAATGTTTTACTATTGAAGAAAATATGCAAGAACAAAGGTAGAATTGTGGTGATGCAGAGGAAATACGGACTTAATTTTAAATTTTCATTTTTTTTTTTTTACAAATATTTTTTTCTGATGAGATTGTTCTGAAAGTTTAGATTCTATGTGCTATTAAATATCATTTTGCAAACAAAATGTGTATTATTTCGGATAATTGAATGGAATTTTACACTTATGAGTAAAAAGCATTCCAGACAATATATTTCAAGAATTTGATCTTTGACCTGTTATGATTTTAATTACAACAGAATAGGGGCAGTATAAGTAAACTGAGGCTATAAATAATTTAGAATTCCCATGCTTCATATTTTTGTAATATTAGATTAGAATTGGATAAAATTTAGAAAATCTACACTGGAATAATTAACAAGTTTACTGGTCAAACTCAAACTTCTTATTTTAATTGTTTTTTTTTTTTAAATTTTATACATTTATATAATTAAATACGGAGATAACGAACAGTATTCAAGCTCAGAAGTCCATTCAAACAATACAAATCAGGAGCAGAGCAAACACGGACATCTAAAACATCAGAGGTGGGATCAGGTGCCATGGAGAACTAATTGTTTATTATTTATATTTAGCAATACTATTCCATTTCTATTATATTTTATAAACCAAAGTTTTTGCTACTTTTTATATTTTGTTAGTAAATAAAATATTGGTCATTGAATAAAAAAATGAGGTATTTTCAGAGAAATACTCATGCAGGAGCCACTAGCGTGAAAAGTAGGTCATTGACCGAGTTATTTGAAAGTGAATTATAACACTACAATCATATGTCTACAATGTACAAAAAGTGATTTTTCATTCCTATCAATGGATTTTTTTTATCATTTGAGTAAACGTCCTTTTCCATTTAGAAGACCATTTGTCATTTTCACACAGAAGCATTTTCTTTTCAATCATCTGGAAATCGTGGTTATTTTAACATTATATTTTAATGAAAGTAAAAAGAACTGCTGATAAATTGTACAATTCCGCTGCAATTTTCTGTAATTCTTAACTTTTGCATTATATCAAAGTCTTTGTGTCCTTCTGAATAGTAAATAACTAATTGCTTATAAAGATTCGATGAAGCTTTGAAACAAATACCGCTGTTTATACGACTTTCATAATGATTCAGTTCATATTTGAATTGGTACCGAGTATCATTATACCCCCTCACGAAGTTAGAGGAGATATACTGGAATCATTATGTCTATTTTTCCGACAAGCTGTCTGTTCTTTGTCTGTATGTCTAGATAACTTTCTGGATTTATCAAGGGGTATCCACATCAAAAATGATGCAAGGTGCTGAATTCAAATATTTCAAAATTCAACACTTGGAGGGAAAATTAATCTTGGTAACTTTAATGAGAATTAAGCATTAGCAGAGAAGTGAATGATGGTGTTGTCAGCTGCTATTCAAAAGTCTTCTATCAATACACTAAAAAACGATGCATATTTAGTCTTTGCGTGCGAAAAAAAGGTATTCCATATGTATATTTTATTTTCACTTTTATGAATTTCAATACTCGTAAATGAGGTATTGAACTGTAATTGCTTAAAGTAAAACCGTGGACAATAGAAGAGAAAAAATAATAAATGTAGAATATTGAATCGCATGCTTTTAATTGCAGAGGGAAAATCAAATCCGAAAAATATCTTACAGTAACAATTAAAAATCATTATAATCCTGTCCAATGTGGGTAGAAATAATCCATATAGTCTGAGCTGAATTCAGCTCGAAGATCAGAACCCTCCTTTGCGGGCCATTTGAAGTACGTCACCTTTCCATTAGAAAGCCAGCCTGCCCACCAGCTGAAAGAACCTACAGATGATATCACGTGATCACACGATGCCATTAAAGCTAAATCTACTTCCGGTGAATTCCCAGAAATAAACTCAACTTTATATTTTTTCATAATGTTTGCTCTAGACCATTTCAGATCATTGGAACACAGAACATAAATGGGATTAGAATAATTACTGAAGAGTATCATCGCTTTTTCAAAATATTCCTTTGATGCAACTAAATAGCCATATGTATGATTAACCATGTCACCACGTCTTATGTGGATAGCAATTAAAGTTACGTTATCTCTGGTTGTCTTATATTTCTCTAAGATATCTTTTATGATTTTTTTCGCTAAAGTCTGAACGTGATCCCTAAATTTAAGCTGCTTTCGAAGTTCATGTGACGAATTGTGAAAATATTTCCAAGATTGTAAATAATATCCAACTTGATGTGTTGCATTCGTCGCAAAGTTTCCAACATTTTTATCAAATGAAGACGCGCGATTTTCAATAGTGACTTGTGCATTTACACACTCGCGTTCTCTGTCTTCACTTATAAATAGATGTCTGCTGTTTTTCAGTTGAAATATTTGGAATATCAGATCATTTGTGCTAACTAGAAACTTCATATCCTTAGAGGCCGCAATGCCAAATCCAGAGGCAAACTGAAATAATTGATTCCCAAGCCTTCCAATAAAGGTGGGGCATACGTAAAACTCTGAATTTCTCCTAGTCGGTGTACGGTAAGCTGAAGGAGGTTTTGACATCCCTGAAACAGCCTTTTGAATATGCTTAGCTTTAATAACAACAAGTGTGGTTCTAGGTTTCATTAACGATGACGATGTATATATGTCCCTGTCATTTGATGATTTCATCATGTTTTCACCTAAGTTAAAAGTTCCTCTGATTGTCTCCATTGCATTTAACGGAGGATCTAAGAATTCCGTAGGTGTTATAACGTTATTTGAATTCATTTGATTGTATTTTGTGAATTCCATGGGTTTGAAGTGATCTGGACCAAATCTCTTGCTTACTGTAATGAATGTACTGAGGGATACAAATGTTGCAAAAAGACTTGCAACAACACATGCTGAATCTGAAATAAGAAAAAATAATTGCTGTACTTGATGAAATGTGAAGATAACGAACAGTTATTATGCTCAAAAGTCCAATCAAAAATACAAAATGTGAGCAGAGCAAACACAGACCTCTGAAAACATCAGAGTTGGATGAGATGTCATGGAGGAGTGGTTTGATGACTGATTGGTCATTTTTTTGTATGAAATACTAGATGATCAAGCCTTACTTACTACATGTATATCTATCTTCTACATGAGATTCCTTTTCTGGTCGTTTGATTATATTAATGTTTTACATGTTTACCAGATATTCATCTCTTGTTGGATTACTTTAAAAACTCCTTGGAAATTATTGGATGATTTGTAAACTATGACTTCTGGTGCCTTCTTGTATATCTTTAGTTGTCAGCTTAAATCTTTGGGTACTTATTTGTACATTCCACTACCGTGTCACTAATAAACACTTGTTTTCTCTGATATTTTGATATTCTCTAACCTGATCAATGGTTACTTGCAACTTGTCCCGTACTTTTTAAGAAATGGTTTGACATAAATTGTTTGATTGAGACCTCTGAAGACCTGACTATGATAATAACAAGTATGTAGATATAATTGATAGTGGTATTCGTAGTGATTGCTAGTTGATACCTACAGCGTTTAAACTTCATGGAATCAGTAGTTAAGATTTCTGTATATCATATCCACTCACCAAATCATCCTCCATCTGAAAAAGAAGAAAAAATCAAAGTAAAATTATGAAGATGTTTAAAATAAGACAAGGCCCATGGGCCTAATCACTCAGCTCATCTTGACCCTGCTCTTCTCCAGAGGATTTTAAAAAGGGGTTTTCATCTTTATTTCTGTGATAATTTTTCACCATTTATTGCTACTCTATCCTACCCAAAAGGGGTAAGGAATTACACGAGCTTCAAACCAAAGGGGGTAAGGAATTACATGAGCTTCAAACCAAAGGGGGTAAGGAATTACATGAGCTTCAAACCAAAGGGGTAAGGAATTACATGAGCTTCAAACCAAAGGGGTAAGGAATTACATGAGCTTCAAAGGGGTAAGGAATTACATGAGCTTCAAAGGGGTAAGGAATTACATGAGCTTCAAACCAAAGGGGTAAGGAATTACATGAGCTTCAAACCAAAGGGGTAAGGAATTACATGAGCTTCAAACCAAAGGGGTAAGGAATTACATGAGCTTCAAAGGGGTAAGGAATTACATGAGCTTCAAAGGGGTAAGGAATTACATGAGCTTCAAACCAAAGGGGTAAGGAATTACATGAGCTTCAAACCAAAGGGGTAAGGAATTACATGAGCTTCAAACCAAAGGGGTAAGGAATTACATGAACTTCAAACCAAAGGGGTAAGGAATTACATGAGCTTCAAACCAAAGGGGTAAGGAATTACATGAGCTTCAAACCATATAATATGAGAATATTTTGATGTCAATATAAATGACATGGCCTTGCTGTTCTTGAGAAGAATTTATTCAAAATTCATTTGTAAAATTTGTTTCCCAATTTTAAGTCCAATCAAAACCCTGAGCCCATAATTTAGGGGGGAAACGAGAAAAAAAATCAATCCATAAAGTCTGGAAATGCTTGCATATATGATTTAGTATGATTTAGTTAAAATTTCCATCTGACATTTTTTTAGTATACCACTTCAAAAAATACAATCACTTCAAATGTTAGGCAAAGGTAAAATGTTTCAGTTAATATTGACTCTTTTACCAGTACACGTAAAAATATATTCCAATAATTATAATTATATTATAATCACATTGTAAAACAGTTTCCTTATGCTGAACTTTCACAAGTTCTATGTTATTGCATGATAGTATGACATTTGGTTTGCTGTGAGATTACTTTTGCTGTGGTACATGTAAATACATGTTTGGTATTTTACATAGTTTTATGTGTAGTTTTATCACTTGTACCATAGGACTGGCGGTAAATTTAGATTTTGCTTTCATGTTGCTGTGGTGTATTTGCCAGAAGAATCACAGTTTTTTTTTAAGTCACGCCCACCTTTTGGCATCAAGCCATACTGTGTCAAGACCTTGACTAATGAATGAATGATGTCAATTTCAAGACCAAGGCAATGGCTGATGAATGAATTAAGTCAACATTTTAAATTTCAAAAATACTAACATTATTTAGCTTGTCGGTGTCCGCTTCATAAATGGTTCTGTATGTTTTCTCCGCGTATCCTTAATCAGTAAATGATACGTCCTATCTCGAATTCTCGTCATTTTCTTTCCCGTCTCCAAATACATATAGCAATTTCACATCAGAAGTCCCCGCATTTTTTTTACTTCCAATACCATTTCAAACTTTCATTAAAATGTCACAAATCATTTCATTTTTTTCTGTACGCCGATTGCCATAAAGAAAAAGTTCAATGCCGATGTTTCCCATATCCATCCCCCCTTTTTTCAAAAAAAAAAAAAAAAAAAACGATCTAGAAAGATAACTTTTCTTTCAGAGTTGACGGCTTGAACATAAAAGCCTACAATCGCGACCCCTATACCTGTACCTGACAAAAATCATGTTTTCTGCGTCTTCAACATTTCAAAGGTACAATATCTTCACACGTACCAATTCCGATTTTTTTATCAACAACTTGTAGTAGCAGTGCCGCAGTAAAGTATGATCCTTGCAGATGGAGACAGCTATCTATACAGACTCCGGACCGTGTCTTGACACCTCGTAGTAGGCGGTGCTATTTATCAACTCGCTTTTCTCTCATTGGTCCTCTGGTACAAGTAACTTACACAATAGATATTAATTGGTTAGCTGTAAATACACTCACAGTTTTTATTCACTCGGGGCTCCGCCCCTCGTGAATGAAAAACTGTGAGTGTATTTACAGCTAACCAATTAATATCTATAGTGTAACTATAACATGTTTACTCTTTTACACAGTGGATATAGCTCACTTGATACCGTTTTCATATCAGCAGTTGTGACGTCAGAATTGTTTTTGCGTAAAAGTGATGAAGTCAAATGAAGTGTAAAAACAGTGTAATACATGTGATAGCTATGTGTAATTAATACATGTGACAAAAAGAATCTCTCATTGGTTTGTGGTTGGATATGATTTTTATCCGACTTGTGTTTTCTATCCCCTAGCTAAGGCTCGAGGATATAAAACGTACAACTCGTTGTATAAAAATCATATTCAACCACAATTTTACACTGTCACTTTATTATAATGCAGATCGAGTGAGATCTGTATGGTATGACATGATATCTTGGAATGATATTAAAAGTATAGGGCGTGTTTTATATAGTATCGAATGAGAATTTTTTAACTTGGTTAAATACATTTTGTTAAAATTAAGTCTCAACATTTATCGATTATGCCTTTCATTTAAAATAAAATAAAATTAAATTAAAAAAAAAACAAATATATTTGCTGATTATGAAACAAATATTGACCATATATTGTGACGTAATATAAGCGTTATTCTGTGCAAGAACTGATAAAAATTCACTTAAACAAGAAGTTGCCTAAGACTTGAACCACGACCTGAACAATACATTGAAAAGTGATATGAAATTAATACGTATGAAAATTATAGATGTAGTCAGATGACAGATATAAAACAAGCATGCATGACTCATTGAGTATATGACTTGTGACAGATTCTCATGAAAATGCAATTTACAATATTAAGTAATGTTAAAAAAATTGAGAAATTAAAAAAAAATATATTTTTTCATTATACATATTACATATCAAATTACCTTTCATGTGTCGTACATTTCCCTGAGGGTGCTCCATAAAGCATCTTACTGCGTTTAAAACATATTTTAAGAAAGCTATTGAGGATGTTTCAAGTTTACATCAAAGAAACTGAATTGAATTGAATTACATAATCCTTTTATTTAAACAATGTCGCTTTAATTTACATTCATGTAACAAAATAATTTCTTTACCTTGTTTTCGGAACAACATTCAGTTATTATCCGTGATTCTGTTGACGAAATACCACATGTCCCCCAAATTAAACATAAGATACTGATGCTGAGTGCTGCCAAAACTTAAATTTTAATAAGTAACATGATCGTACATTTGGGTAACCTTCAACGATTCTCCCATAACGAGTCTTGCTATTGACAGGCCCGTAGAAGCGGGGGGAGGGGCTTTTTTCTGAGTGTAGTCTTTTGCTGTTTTTAATCTGTAAATTTTCATTTAGATGCCCCCCTCAAACACTGGCAAGTATCAGCATTTGAAAAAAGGAATGTATCAAAAGGTTGAAGAAAAGGTCTAACAAATCCTCCCCCCCCCCCCCCCCAAAAAAAAAGGATGTTAGTAAGGCAATAGTAAGTTGTCCGTCGTCCGTCCGCCCGTCTGTCTGTCTGTAAACAATTTTTTAAAATGCTACTCCTCGTACAGTTTTGGTTTTATTTCAATATATTTACATTTCCAATAAATTTCCCCTATGATTCTTTACAAAATAGAATACAGTTCATTTTCTCATGAACTACCATGAATGGGCATGAATATCTCCATTGTAACGTCATAATATCTTACTTGACGTCAAAACTATAGTGCAAACTGTTTTGCTTAAAAAAATGACAGTTGAATGGCGTTATTAGTGGGAAATCATCAGAAAAATAATGTAAATATAACAAATGAATTTAACTTTTGAAAATTCATGAGGTACATGAACTACGACGCTTCACGCCGGCATATTTATCATGAAGCGCTAACGCGCTTCATGAAATATGCCGGTGTAACTACGAATAATGACCCCCATAGAATAATGACCGGGGGTCATTTTTCGCCGTCAAATAATGACCCCCGGTCATTATTTAACGG